TCCAGGTTTAGGGTCAATCAGTTACAGCTGTGCTAATCCACAATTACTAACTTTGCCTGCTGATCTCTCCATGGTGAAACGTGCAGATGAAACCAGGGTGACCTCCCTCTGCCTTTCCGTACCACATGTATAGAACAGTGGCTAAAGTGGCTAACAGAACAACTGTGCACATACCATGGGTGTTATAACATGACAGGGATTTTATTTTGTGAGGGCAGGTCTAGATAGGTTACACCCCAAATTTTTGACTTGTAAAGGCAAAGAAACCTGTGGTTTTGTTTACGGCGGCTGACTGCAGCAATGCTGCTTTTGATGTCAACATACATTTTAGTAAATGTTAGCTTGTACTCTTGTAGTGATGGGCTGTTTGCAGTAACCTTGGGAATATTGCTCTTATCTTATATTTACACAACAAGTGCAAAGAAAAGAGATTAGGTATTTTTCCACTATGTTTAAAATGCCTTTTTTTTCTCCTGTCTTGAACAAGGGATGAACTTTAAACATTTCAAACACATATAGTCCACTCAGAAGATGTACAGTTAACATGGTACTAATCATTTGCTGGCAGGTCCGTCCTGTTCAGAGTATACTTCTATTATCATGACTATACCATGTATCTCGGGTCAAGTACAACAGTTGTATGGGACTGCAGCAAGGGAAATGGAAACTAGTCACATAACCGAGCTGGACTAGGACTACAGACAGGATGGACAGACAGGTAGCATGGCATCCCTCTGAAGACAGGAGGACTCTGGTGAAGAATTAGGCCTGTCACAATTAATCATCAAAAATTAGCCTTTTGATGGCTAGGGCTAATAGAAAATTCAGCATGACCTACTGTCAACAAAAGAAGGGAGTTTTGTTTCTATATTCTGTATTCAAATTTCATTTCAGCCATGTAATTCTGAGGCTTCTGCTTTACAAAACTTACCCTGTGCCCTCCCATCAGTGGTAGCACTACCAGAAGTGATTCAAAACCACGACATGCAGGAGTGCTGTGACCACCTTTACTGGCTTACTGTACACATGTCCTTAAACATACTATTCAACCTCTCCATGCCACAGTTTCATCCATGCCTGTGATAACAGCTGCCTCCCAGAAAAGCTGCGAAGTTTTGTTTGCCCTCCGTGCCAAACCAGCAGAATAAAACCCACTGCCAGAAGTGCAAAACTTGTTTGAAGAGCACTGTACTGAAGGGGAGGTGGCAGGTCTGCAGCACCCACACACTCCCCTGCTCCCTGGGTTTCTCCCATCCCATATCTCTCACAGGGCAGAACAAGTGCATTTGCCCTCCTTTGGCAGGGAGCTTCCAGTTTAAAAAAAAAAAAAGGGAATTGTCTCGTGCTGTTTAACACCACAAGCAATATCTCCTCTGTCTCCTGCAGAGAGCAGCTGAGGTAAGCTGCACAGCTCTGTAATAAGAATTTGAAGATGTTTGGGGCAGGCATGAAACTGAAGAGAAGGATTACTGGAACGTCAGCTCCAGCTGCTACAAATTTGTTTCTTCCAGATCAGACCCTGCACTCTGTCCTCGCTGTGCAGGTCCCGACACTTCTGGAGTTCATGTGCTGCTCCTGCAACCAGCAACACCTTTGGTGGGGAACTCCTTCAGCTTTCCTGAGAAGCTTTCTGCTTCCTGGCTGTGTGCAGAAAGTAGGGAGCCATCTCATCTGTTGTAAGTCAAGGACTGATCTATCAGAAGAACCCAGATGCAGGGGGAACAGGGACTTCATAAACCTGCCAAATAAATCTTCCCTGGCTCCGGTTCCCTTCTGGCAGCATCTGCTGGACCTTCAACCTGCTCAGCCTCTTCGATTTCATGAAGTAGGAAACTTCCTCTCATATCTCCTTATCACGGCTTTTGTTTTCTGGTCTTTCCTACACAAAGTTTGCATTTCCATTTGTTAAAATCTTTGCACAATCAGCTGACCAACTGTTTGCATATAAAAACACTGAGAAGCTGGGGACTATGGCAGAATGGTTTGGAGCAGTCTCCAGGGACACAGTAAGACTGGCCCAACGGGCATTTATATTTACTCATATGATATCCCTGTGAACACTGGGAAACCTTCACAGGATGGCACAGACCTGACACTGTATCTTTTTAATTTTCTTGTTCATCTGGAGCTGAGAGTGCTTTCTAACATCATAGAGTCTGATCTATTACCAAAACGCTGCCAGTGTCCAGCTGAGTGCAGAAGCTGCTGAACACCACACCTGACACCATAAAGGGACTAAAAGCAGGAAATGCAGAACAGGGAAGTGGCAGCAAGCAGAAAGTAACTATCTAATCAAGCTGTTAGGCTGACCAGGATGGAATATAGTCTGTGATAATTAAGTCTGTCACTGCTGCCTGTATAGGATGGTGACTCTTGCTATGATTTTGCCATCATAACCATGCTGTCGGTCAGGTTACTTGACCTGCTTTCCATGTTTATCTATGAAAGATTTTGTTCTGCTATGTGACTGTGAAGAAGAGGTTAAAAAAAGTGAGAGTTTTCTGTAGCAGGGATATTCCAGTTGCATAAGTACCACGGAAGATTTTTCCCAGAGCAAGAGGACTTTGTTAGGTGTACAGAACACCTATGGCTTTTGTTCCCTTGATAATTGCTCAACTGCACTGCCTCTAAATCATTAAACGGGCCTCAAATTTACATCACCAATTGCAAACAGTAATTACCTAAACTCTCAAAACTGGCATTGGCCTGACAGAAAAATTCAGCGCTTGTTCTCCTCAATGGACCTCTTGCAGAAGCCAGAGTAATATCAAGAAAAGGAAGTCTGTAACAGAAGCAAGTGGTATTTCATATTTTCAAAAGGGTCCAACAGGAATGGAAAGCAGAGGAGTTCCTTCCTACACGCTGCCCTAAGCTAACATTCACCCTGATGAATACCAAAGGGAAGTTACAAGTTTCCTTAAAAATGTCTGTTGTTCCTGCAGAGCTCATGTTGCTTAGAGGGATTTACAAGGCTTTAGCTTTGTACTGGAGCTTTTGTCTTGATAAGGCACCTTTCAACAGGAAAAAAACCCAGGCAATTCACAGAAGTCACCACAAACATTCCCCAGCACAGCTACTTCTGCCATCATGGTAAAATAAAACAGCAATACCAGGAGCACGGGGCCAAGGGCTGAAGTAAAACAGAAGGAAATTACCAGTATTTATTCTTACAGTAAGCAACTGAGTAAAAAATTACATTTCCCCACACACACTAATCGTCATTCTTTAGTGAAACGGAGATGGAGTTAAAGCATCTCTCCCAGTAATCACCACTTGTATTTCAAAATTTCTCTGAACACAAGAAAAAGTATCTTTCAGAGCTTAAACATTCTTTTGGTATAAATGTCATCTTATTTTGGAAGAAAATAAGAGAATTACATCATTTGTTAGATTTAATTAAAAAAAACCCCAAACAAACCAACAGATCGATGTCAAAGCAACACAGTAGCTGTGGACTTCAGTTTAGTTTATGAACAACTACATTGTATCATCGCTAAAGTCAGTGTTGGAGAAATTAGGTCTTAACTGAAAACTGTTTTAAATCCAGAGGAAATACCCTTTGTAGCACATGTAAGAACATAAAATTTATCATGGAAGGAAGCCCTGCCAAAAGCTTACAGAAAAATGTTTCTGTGCTACCAGACAACCACAAGAGACAATTTTTAAGTTTCAAGAATAGGATGTTTCCCAGAGCTTTACGCAGTTATTAGAATTTCCATCCTAACATTTGGGGGGAATTTTAAACCATTCAAGTTCTGTGTTCTTTTAATTTAAACAGAATCTGGCACCTAGAATAGTAGTTTTTTTCTACTGGTCACAAGATCTTTATCATCAGTATTAACATGATTAATTCTGGTTTACTACTTTCTCTTAGATGGTTACTACAGGGATGCAAATTGCTGAAGTTGTGCCACATTAATTTTACTTAGGAGACCTGGCTATTCCTCTGTGTACATGGCTGACATGCTTTCCAGCCCTTCCTGCTTCCCTCCAGCATTTGCAACCCTTGAAGAGAAAATAAACGCAAACCACTTTGGTAGAGAGAGGGAAATCTGTAACCCCGAACGATGGCTCTGTGATAGTGCCACTAGTGGGTTCAGCTTCAAAAGGCACTCTAAACAATAACTTATCTTTTACATCATCCAATTACAATAATGATAACGCCTTCCACAGAACCTGTCCAAGCCAAATCAGGCCATTACCTAGATTGCAGTGTACAACAGAGTCCCTTCCATTGGCTTAGGACTCTGCCATCACTGTCACTCTTAGGGGCTTGCCAGGATCACGAGATTGTGACTGCACAGACGTAGCCAACAGAGACTTGACCCACGTGGTTGTAATTCATGTGCATTATATGGGGTTCACAGGACCAGACGTGATATACGTGCAATCAGGCCAAGGGGCTTCCTTTGGGAATGAGGGCTGGCATTAACCTCAGACTCAGATTAGAGGAAAACTCTGCAAATTCTGGCTTTAGAACAAGATGACAAAAATCAGATTTTCTCCTCCTAGGTAAAAGCCCACTGCTACGTGTTTAGCAATTTCACCTCTGTCAACATCTGCCTCATCTCAGCTTCCCTCAAAGTCAAAGCAAAAGATAATGGAACAGGTATTCCTAGGAACCAGCCCAGAGCAGCGGTGGTGAAGGGACACGACACAGCTCAACAGGTGACAGCGGATGTTGTCACCTTCCATCCTCCCCACAGCTCCACAGCAGGGCCAAGTGGCCTCAAGCATGGGGTAGCATATGACACCAACCAACCTCCTCTCCCAGCTCTGCCCCTGTGGCAAAACCAAACCAGTAATGACTACGGTGGGTGTCTGCTTCAGGGTCTCACTGCTGAGCACCAGGGCAGAGCATCTGGGCTCCTGGCAGCCCTCTTACCACAAACCTAAGCTCCTGAGAAGGGCTCTGCCCGGTGAACAAGGGATCTGGCAGCACTCAGCTGCCTGCAATTCCCTCTGAATGTCCCTGTGAAAGGAAATCAAAACACATTAAAAAAACTGAATGTGTGGTTTATTATATTCAAGATGCTATTTGTCTATAGGGTTTAAATATGTCTGTCACAGAGTTAACAGTAAATGAATGTAATTTTACATGTTCAGTATTTTGATACACAATACAGGACAAAAAGTGTGGTAAAGGAGCATGGGAAATTAATACTTCCTTGATGCACGTATCAAATCCTGCAGCACCACTTAGAAGCTTGGAGTAAGGACTCAAGCTGCAGTATTACAAGCGCTACTAAATAAACCAAGAGACATACCTATATTAAACATTAGAGAAACAAAACAAATGACACGGGAGTTTAATATATAAGATTTGATACAGGATTAAAATACTAATATTTTTAATGTCCTGGTTTCAAATTAATAAATATAAAAACAATATAAAAATATACACCAGTTGATAAAAGGATGCACTGAGTAAGGTTAGAAAGCTAAATTTCACTTTCAAACGTATGCAGGTATGTCTTTAGGGAGAGGATTTCTGTGTAGCTGCGACTGGTCTTTCGGAAGAAGTCCAAGCTTGTGAGCTGTTCGATGTCACGCACACGTGCGGTGTGCATCTTAAGAAGATCTTCAACCCACTTTGATTCATCCTCTAAGCTCTGAAATGTTAAAAAAAAAAAAAGAAGAAAAAAGAGACTTTCATAACAAGCCATGTCACAGAAGTCAGCTCTGAAAGAAAATGCAGCTTTTCTGGAGATTGGCTTTGTTTGAAAAATCTCTCTGCTCTATTCAAGAATGACTAAGGCAAACATGCTCCAAGAAAACAGATTTGAAACATCACATGCTAACTATTCCTACAGCTTTATTTCAGGACTCATTTTAGGACAGGCTTGAGACAATCATCATAGTCACCTGTGAAAAGCTGGCCCCATGTTGCAGGTGTTTCAGAAGAGCCATAGGCTTTTAGAAGATCCATTGGTCACCTCATATTTTATCTCACAGGAAGAGGTCCATATTAATCAGTCGTTTATTACCAAAGCCCAGACTCTAGGCTGTTTAGCTTTGAACCCTACCCCTACACATTATTCTCATCTGACCAGCACCTCCATCTAACACAGCATTATTTTAATCATTACACTTTACTGTTAGGAAACCTTTACAATTCTTTCCACAGTTGGGACTATGGTTTATGTTGGTACCTCTAAAATATGTATTAGAACATACATATTTTTCACTGATAGAAAAAAGACTTTCACAAAGCATTTCCCAATAACAACAACAAAAAAAACCCAAACAAAACAAAACAAAAAACCACCAAAAAAACAATCAGGAAGGTGATACTGCCAGAATGGTTGGGTGAGTGACATCTCTCTTATGGGGCTGCTCCTGCTGCATGCCTTGTGCCAGCACCTGCACTCGTTGGAGCCACCCACCAACTAACATAACTCACTAACACGTCAGGAAATCTGCAGTTACTGGCTGTCTGAGTGCGTTAACCAGCCCAGTGACACGTCCCATGACCACTGCCGCCAGCCCCAGGGACTGCACAGCAGGGAGCAGACGTGGGAAAAGGCCAGAGCAAACAGGACTTTTCCCCTTTGGCCTCTCAGGCTGGTACATCTGCACCACTGCTGGGGAAGCAAACGAGGAAAGGAGGCTTGTGCCTCCGGACATTTGGACCTCATGTGCCCTGGAAATATAGCTGATAAAATTCTATTTCTGGGCTTACTCCTGAAAATGAGCCCCTTTCTGACTCTCTCAGCCAGGTCCTCGAACAAAGTGATCCTCTCACTGATCAAGGCCAAGCTTCAGCAATGCCAGAGCCTAGCCCACAGAGCAGTCGTGCCACACACCAGGCCGTGGGTCACCCCGCAAAGGCCAGGAGGGTGAGCGTGATCGTTTGCACAGGGAGGACACAAAGTACCAGCTAGGTCACAGCTGGCTGCTCTAAAGCAAATGACCATGACCCAGTCAGCACTCGCATGTATTGAAGTTTTTCAGCTTTCCTCTCTGTGTCACTACCAAGCTGAGGCCCAAAACCAGGTTTGGAGCATGACAAGAAACGCAAATTAAGAGGGAAGAGAAGGGAGCGCGCCCTGCTCACTCCCCTGCACCTGCAGTGCCATGCTTCAGGAACAGTGCTCGGATGCCCGCAGCCCCCTACCCAGCCTTCAGCCTGACAATCAGGTCGCTAGACTGCAGAAGAGGCCTCAACAGCGTTACTACTGCTAGTGCAATCACTGTGACATTTCTGTTGTCTTCAAGCCTTCCTTCTGAACAGGAAATCAGCATTTTACAGAACTCAAAGAGAAGTCCCATTGCTACAAATCTCATTTTTTTAAATACAAGGAGGACTCCTGAGAATTTGCAAAACATATATGACTGAAACACAACACTGTGATGTTGGTTTTAAACTAAGTCCAGCAAGACAGCATTTGCATCACCCCAGGAAAAAAAAAAACCAAACCAAAATCAATCAACCGATCTGCATTCTAGTTTTTCCATTCCACAATGACCCATGAAACCTCTGGTCCAGCAGCAAAAAACACAGTGATCAACTAACGTGGTATTACGTTACCGCACAACAGTGCATGAAGTGTATACATTTAAAATTATGGTTTTATCCGTCTGTGCTTCTAAGTCTCACCTCAATAACACAGTCAGTCTTAGAAAGAAAAATTAACAATTGAAAACACGGAGGTAAATAGAAATAGGTAATCAATTAGAAGGCCAATATAAAATCCACTGGAAAAGATACCAGATATTCTGGACAAAAGAATGTATCTGGATATCAAATTATTAGCTGGAAAGCTGAACATGATCAGAGTGTAGACAGGTGGGTGAGGAACTCATTCACTGAAAGAGAAATTTAAGGTTTGCTGAAAGGGAAAATAGTGGCCTGGAGGAAGTTTCTGGTAGGGTTTCTCCAGCTTTTGTCTTGCATTTTGTGTAATGTTTTCAATACATGGTTTTTATGGCAAGGTCATTAGTGTGCTACTAAAAAAAAAAAAAACCAAAAACAAACAACACAATTGGGAGCTCAGGTCAATGCAGAGGAAGATTGGAATAGCACACTGGAGGATGAAGACTGGGGATACCCAGGTATAGTATGAAAATGGGTTATCTACACTGACAACAAAAATTTCTGCTAAGCTGGGAGCTTCTGGGGTAAAACAGCAGATACAAGATAAGGACCTGGGTGTACTGGTAGTGCATGATTATAACACAGCTATGGGAAAAGAACATCCTAGATAACAACAGAGGAGTTACGACCAGTATAAAGAAAGCCACTTCTGAGATCTCAGCTGGAGTACTTTATTCATGTTCCAGAACAACACAAACCAACAAAAAATATCAGACTGAAACAGATGCACAGGAAGGCTACTAAAATGCCCATTCTCTCTTACAAGAAGAGCAAAAAAAATCCTGGGTCTCTCATGAATAGAGAGAAGTATATGCCTTGAGAACCATCATAAATCATCACTAGGGTAAATCCCAAAGCAGCCCAGTGAAGGGCTATTTAAGCCGTAGAAAAATGTTGACACAAGAATAAATGGGTATAACCTCACCATGAATAAACACAGTTTGGAAATGGAACAAATTCAAATGAGAAGAGTAGTGATGTTCTCCAACGGCTGAGTGAAGAGAGAGAAAGTGTGTGCAACAAGAGCAGAGTGGGGGGAAAGCTAATATTTCTTCAGATCTTAAAAGAAAGCTGTGGAGGGGTTAAGGGGTAATTCTTATATTATCCCATGCATTTCATCCATGAGGTACGTGATCTTTTACACAATCACTTCTTTGAAAAAGAATCAGATGTAACAACATTTGTAAAAGTAAGACTGACAACGTATTTGAATGGCAAAATTTTGCCTGACTTGATTTTCAGTCAAGAGGTACATTTAAATTTTTTTGGAGTGGTTCTTTGCTATGTCAAAAGCATAGACCCATATCTGGTAATGACCTTGTAGCAGCACTGAAGTTCCTCCCAGAACTGTAAATACATACACCATAAGCAGCATGACCTAGAGAGATAAGAAGCCTGAGTTGGAATATAAGAAATCAAAGAGTAAAAGAGACCATTATTCTAAGTAGTTCATAAAAAAGATTTCAGCAGTTTAAGAGGACCATGACATGCAATAGAGGCAGGAAATAAAATTGACTTTGTCATAAAATTACATTTGGGTAGAGATACAAGGACAAGGGCACTAATAGCTGCCAGATTTGTAACTTCCAGATCACCAACTGGATCTTGATTCAGAAGAAAGCAGTCCAGAAAAACACCACAATGAAATATATGTAGGACTTTCCGAGACTTCTGCTGGAAGACAACTCTGCCCAAAGCAGTTAAGAGTCTAAACAGGGGAAAGCCAGACCTGCTCAAGAGAGAGGGATACTGCTCCAAAAGCGTGGTTTTAAAAAGAGGGACCTGAAAGCAGGCGATGTTTGATGAATGAGAAAGAGACAGTGTTCCAGGTGAATTGTGTACAGAGTTGGAATGACTATTTCTGCCTGTAGCTGGAATAGGAGTCTTAACTTTTTGTGCCAATACAAAATTCATAACATTAATGCGTTCATTCAGGAAACGGTCTCCTGGCAGCCTATAGTGAAGCGTCTGTGTGCAGGAATCCACACAGCTGTGTAATGGGAGAACAAGTTCAGGCGGAAGGACAAGTCTAAATGCAGCTGCCTGGGAGGACTGCTGTCCTTGCAGAGCGCTGGAGCCCCGGGGGACCCAATCGCTCTCCTGCCGCACCATCAGCTGCCCAGTGTGTCTGTTGCTTTCTGCGGTGGTGACCAGACCGAAGCCTTCCTGCTTCACCAGGATTCTTATAACTAGAGGATCTTGTATCCTAAAGGAAGATAGGAATGGAACCAGGAGGGTGTCTTGTCATCTTTGTTAATGAGAATCCAAAATGTTCCCTTGAATCAAGACGCACTGTGGAAACGGCAGGAGCTGGCGCTCTACCCTCAGCAGGTTTTAGCATATAGTTTTAATATTGTGTGGGTTGGATGTAATCATGCTGTCTGATGCACCCAGACTGCCATAGCAGACAGACTATATTGTACCTGCGTATGGAAACAGACCTCAATAAAAACATCAGGCTGGCTGCCAGCACAAGACGCCTATGCACACAACCTCCCTCAATCTGCTCCGAGGTTACGCTGACAGTGTCTGCCAAAACGTAGAAGCCTACAGGTTGTTTACTGCCAATCTATTGTATGTCAGTTCTTCCAGACAATTAGGTGCAGTAATAGTTCCATATTTTCTCTGATACCACAGAGGAGTGCTTTTGTCTAATGAGTTTAACATGACACTTAATAGAGTCACTACCCTGTGCTTTCACTCAAGACATGAGTGAGCACCAGCATCTAACAGTAATGGGGTTTCACATGTCCCAGGGATATATTTACCACGGGGTTACAGCAGTGCAGGAGAACTTACATTGCAGCTCTCATCATTGTCAGGCCGGTGGGGAAGGATGTAGGAGAGGACGGAGAGCGGTCCATCACACTTGTCGGCTGGCTGCGTGAAATCTAAGCAGCTGGTTATGATGGTATAGTAATGAGTAGGAACGGGGATGGCACTGCCTTCCACAAACCTGGGGGAATAAAACATTTATCCATAAAGGATAAACCTGTTTGGAAGAAGGTTACACAAACAGCGTGGTCATTCCTCTGCTATGTGGGAGGACACACATGTGTTGTTGAGATGTGCTTAATTCCTAAACAATATCTGAAAATAAGCATTCAATTAGCACGTTTTGATACCGTGCTATAGAAATACCACATGCCAGTGCTGAAAGGGTTCTTCAGGGACATAGAGAGAAAGCATTACTGAATTAACAAGAGACTTGAGTACCTAACTCAATGCCACTGCTACGGTTTTCTCTGGTAGCCATTTCCCAAGTCTTAAATTCTGGAGAATTTTAGAGAAACTAGATTCTTTGGAACATAATTCAGCTTCAACTCAAGGATGAATGAACACTTAATTTCAAAGTCAAAGTTAACAGTTACCTGCTGAATTGCCATTTCCTTAATTTTTACCACTGTCCTGCCTACAGGGGCATCCAGTCTTGAAGCACTATGATTTTATAAAAAGCTAGGAAAACATATCTCCTCCCAAAAATCAAGTAATGTACAGATAATGACTTAAGATAAAGGTATCATTAAGAAAAGCAACAGCAAATCCAAATTTGAAGACAAACTCTTACTGTTTTATTTTGTCTGGTGTGTCATGTAAACCATCATAGTCATAGTCAAAGATCGGTCCACTTATGACATTGACTCCATTTCGTTCGGTGGCATATCTCTTCACCAAAACCCTTTGAAAATAGTTCCATACCTCTGTGGGGGGAAAAAAAAAATAAAAACAAACCCAAAACAACAAATCACCCCACACCAAAATTTACATAAGTCAAAACATGTCAAGATTATAAACAATTGTTTTCCTGAAAATAAAAATCCAGTAGACATCATTCACATGATGGTAAGTGAAATCAACGACTAAGCATTACAGATTTACTGCAGCTTCATCCAGTTTGGTCAATAAAGCCTATTCAGACTTCTTTGCTCTCTGTTGAATTTTTTGCCCCAACCATCGATAAAGAAAATGCACAGTACCACTCCCAGGCTGGCATTGACATAGACATTGCACAGAGAGCTTGCTGTTCCTTCAGCAAGCAGTAGAAACAGCTATTCACATGCTTTTGAGGTCCCTGTAAACACTTCCTTTGTCTTTCTTATCTAGTTACAGGGAATGGTGCTGTGCTGGTTTTTTTTTTTTTTAGTTCTAGAAAGGAAACAGCACTGTGATTAAAAACAAAACCCAAACATTTTCAAAGAAAGAACAATACAAAGGTCATATTCTTCCAGTTAAATTCTTCATGGATACAAAATATCTAACTTTTAAATTAGGTTGCATCAAGGATGACAAAATTATGGCATGGCACCTCATGGCAGCAACTTTTAGGAAGAGCATGACATTTTCTCCCACCACTCCCTCGTCAACCTTAACAAGTTCAGATGCTTGGAGAGACAGGGAAACACATTGGAATCTCCAGTTACATCATTCTTTTGCTTATTTTTTCTTTTTTTTATTTCAAAACTAACAGAAGCGTGTGTAAACAAAACATCTCAGACGTGTACAAGTTCAGCTTTTGTCCTGCCAGCTCAGACCGTTAAGTGCGTGGTTCCCCAGCACTGATAGCATCGCCAGCCTCAATACGTTTCCCAGTACGCCTTGTCCTGCAACTGCTCAGCGCCACATGAACTCCCTGCTCGGGCTAGTGTGCAGGGCCCCATGAGCCACGGTCTAACAAGAACCTCAGCTACGGTAACCACTTGGCACCACCACTCCTCCAGCTGCTTGCTTCTCCAGTGCATCAGCCTTAACAACAAAAATAGCCACAAAAGGAAAGCTTTTGTTTTTCCCTCCCTGAGTTGTCCAGCTGAATCAGTTACCCACTTGGGCTCCCGCTGCAGCCACAAGACAGCTAGACCAGTGCAACGGGGGCCAGCCCAGGGGGCTCGTCTTGTAGCTCCAGCAAAGCAGCAGCTGCTAAGCCAGGCTCACTGCAGCAAAGATGGACACAGAATTATTGACTGGGAGGATGGGATGGGACAGCAAATTATAAAAAGAACGCAAAGGAGGGGACCTCTGCAGCCCACACTGCCACCAAAGCCAGCATAGCACATAAACTGCCACCTCCTATTTTCCCTGTCATGGAAAATGCTCCTTATAATGAGCTTACATAATCAGGTCTCTACACTGCAACCTGCACACATGTAGTGCCTTCTAACTCCCCAGGAATGGTATTAATTCCAGCATTGGTTCTCAGGGAATCCTTCACCCACTTGTGATCAAGAGGAAGGCCCCTAGGCAAAATGAGATGCTAGTGGTGGGTTGTTCTCCTGTGATTAGCATCTCAGCTAATTTGCTTAGACTAACATTAGCATAAAGAGCATTTTTATGAAGTGATTTGAGAGTGGGAAATCCCCAATAATTTTGCACTCTGTAATCAGTTAAGTGCCTTTGCTCAAATTTCCAGCAAACATCACCACTTGTTCCTACTCAGAGGTTTTTCAGTTAAAAACATTCTTTTCTGGTTAAAAAGAAAAAGCCTCCCATAGGCTTTGATGTTTATCCAAACCTCTCCGGCCTAAAATCTGAATTGGAAATCTCACAAGAACAGGCTCTTGAGATTCTTCCAAGGCTTCTCAATTTCTGCCAAGCCAAAAATGCCACCAGAACGGTCTGATGGTTTTCCTACCTCTTGGCAAAACTAGAGAGAAAAGGGATGTGCAGACAAAAGAAACGTTAATACTATATCCCTGCAGCACTGAAAGTTTGAGCCAGGTTTAAGTCATTCCTCATTTTCCATGAATTGGTTTCCTCTTCCTTTTGCTTTATAGGTAATAGATATGTTTGGTCTCCCTCTAAGGGCACAGATAGAAAAACCAAAAATAATCACTTGCCCCTGGACTACAACAACATGCTAAGTGCACACTCCCAGGCTTGCGCACGCTCCCAGGAGGCTCCATTTGAGAAGCAAAAACACGTTGCTTAAGTATGTTCTGCATTAACTTGGGCTACAAACAAGAAAATCTGAATGGTCTTGCACAAACTGAATTACTGTAGCATGAAGCAAAATTGCTGAACTACAGCACACTTGTGTTTTCATCTTAGCCCAGCACCAAACAAACCCTTCTCAAAGCTTAAACCTTTCTCGTGGTATCTTCCCTGCCCCTACCTAGAACTATATAGGTACCCGCAAGTATTATCTGCTGGCTACAGGTAACTGAACTTTCTGTTCTAAACTCCCATCAATTCATTCCATAGTCCAACACACATCATTAAAAATAAAAGTTGGGAAGGAGAAGTAAAGACATAGAAAGGGCACTTACTTTTGAAAGCAGGATACATTGGAATGATATTTGTTATTAGAAAAGCGTCATATTTTGCTTCTGCAGAGGAGCTTAATTCTGAAAACAATAAAACAGAAAAATATTAATAAGATGAACAATCATAAATTCAAAGAACATAAAAATGTTATGAAAAATGGCTTCAGAGATTAACCAAAGGGAATACCGTCATCTAAACAGCCATCTGAACGCTATATTCAGAGATGTACATTGTATGCATCAAATGTGTCTTTAGTGTGACAACTGAACATGGAAAGATTTTATCTTTGCTTCAACTGTCAACTAGTTCAAAATATTTTTACAACTCATATATTTTTGAAATATGTGAGTCTCAAAAGTCAGAGAGTTGTTTCACAGGCCTTTAGAGAAAAGGCAAACAATTTCCTGGGAGGGGTGTGTGGGATCATCTTCTAGTTCTGGGCAAGCCTCTGCACTACTAATTCCATATTAGAAATCCACCATAAAATATTTCATCCACCGAGTGAGGAAGGCAGAGCAATGAAGTTCACAATTCTCAGGCAGTTGTGTCCCTTGAACATTTACTAATCCCAGAAGATCATTACTCCAAAACATAACCTAGGTAACCGCACAGGAGAATCCAGGACACTCATTTAAAAAGGTTTTCTACCAGCACTATTTCTATGGGATGGTAGAAATTTTTCCAATATGCAAAAGTCCAATATGGACTTATAAATTAAATATATGTTATTTTGCCAAGAAAGGTTGGACCAGATGATCCCTTGAGGTCCCTTCCAACCTGGTATTCTATGATTCTGTGATTATCTTTCTGATGTTTGAATTCAAAATTAAAACTCTCACTAGATTCCCAGTCCATATAAGCTAGTATCTACCTGCTGACTTTAAAGGGCCAACTTTTGAAGACTGTCTTCTAGCTTGTACTCCTACGTTGTGCAGCAATTTTTCACCTTTATTTTTATTAACTAAAGTGGGACAATTCACCCTTTTGGTGCATGAAGCTGGGTACCAGTTAGGAGCATCTCTTGCAGAGCTGGGGTACCACAGCCACGATGGCAACTTGTGGCATTGGGCCCTTGGCCCTCAGCAAGTGCAGTGAGAATAATACATCTATCCCCTTTAGCTCCATATGTGACTCCAGTGCAGAAGCAGCACCTCTGAGGAGAAGACAGCATGGAGAAAGGAATCACCCTGGAGTAGGGGTAAGTTAAACCATTCCTACATATATTCTTTTCCAACAATCTTAGAAAACCCCTTAGTCTGTCTGTATCGGATGGGAAATTTTCTCCATAACTAAGTTTTTCCCTAACAGCAAAGAAAACTACAAACACTCTAGGTATCAAAAAGTGACCTGAACTTACGTGGAGGGAAAAGGAAGCTATAGGAGAGCTGTTTATCGCCTCTGTAGGCTGCACAGCTCTGGCTGTTTCCTGGAGAAATGCGGAGGTCGGGTCTCACACAGCTGGCCAGGTGCTCCGGGACACCTGATACTTCTGCCTTCATTGAGGGACATACACAGAAATTACAAGAAAGGGAATTCCAACATTTATAGCCAAAAGAAAAAAATTGCATATAGATGACAGATTAGATGGAAGGCCTTGTGTGGAGTACAATAAATCATCCAGTTGTACAACCAAGTCCTGCTCCTGCACCTGCCACAGAGCTTCTTCCAGGCAGCAGAAGTCACCATGGGAAGCAATTCAAATGAAGGCACTCATTATGCTATCATAATAAAACAAACCCCTATCAAGCAAAACTTAGAAAAAAATGAAAACAGGAAAAGAAATACACAGCCCTTCTGCCTTAAAATTCTTTTACCTTGAAGAAAAAACAGAGTTTGGCACTGTTTTCAACGGTATTTGACATAATTTCAGGTGCAAAAATGTGCTTAGGGAAAGGGAATTTTAGGACTTCAAGAATACAGGTACCGAACAGATTTCCCCAGGATTTTTGAAGCACTTTTTCAAAGACAGCACTAACCTGTTTGGAAATAGTGTAGGATGTCCAGAGAGGCATCAGGAATGTTTCACTGTAGCCACTTTCGAAGTCATGGTGATGCAAGATATTGTATTTTGTGCGGTACAGTACTGCAGGGCGTCCATATAGAAGATGCTTCTCTATAGATCAGAAGAAATGACATTTACATTTATTACTGAAAACCTTAAAGATGAAAAAACCCCAGCAGTTGGCTTTCCAACACATGCTGATTTTTCAGAGATCCTTAATGGGATTAGGACCCCGAACAACTGCTAGGGACATCTTGTAGGAGAGCAGTAGTTCTTCGATAGTTTGTGTTGGGATTCTCCTTCCAGGCTCACAACCCACTTTGAGGTTGAAAGTCCCTTCTGTACTTGAAAGCTTGTTGGAGTCATAGCATGGGGAAAGGTTGTTTCTCCTGGTGGACACTCCACAAGGACCTTTGTGTCCATATTTCAGTCACACATGAGGTGATAAGCACACCTCTGTAGCTTTAAGTCAGCCCCTATCCTATCACTCCTGCCGTTCTCCAGACTTTCTCTCCTTCATTTTATTTTTTTGAAATCCCTCGCAAAAGGGAGGCAAAAGTGCTCACTCACTAAGAGAGTATCTTTTTCCACTTGGCTGATATAGATGAAGTTCTGAAGACTGATGTACTATTTTCTATCAGTAATATCAAAGAAAAAAACCAAACCCTTTTCTTAACTGGCTTCAGAAAGATACCTCCAACTCTGCAAAAAACTTGCTTTTATTCTATCTTGGTGATAAATTATGGTTAAACACCACCAGATACCTCTGATAAGCTAGCTTATAAAAAGACAAATCTATCATTAAAATGATAGAAATAAAGTTACTGGCTAATCTTGCATTGTGCTGCACAGTTCATTGATTTTGATAACCTTTTGGCAAAGAGGCTTGGATTGGTTTTGGAAATCAAAACATAGAAACAAGGAAAACAGCCTAACACTGTTCACAGACAAGCTTTTTAACCTGAAAGGAATGGGCAAGTTTCATTAGTGTTTGAGTCCAAATAGAGGATATTTTTATAGGACACAAGAAAGAAAAGTAGGAAAAGCCTTATCTAAGGACAAAGATGATAAACATGTTTTATTCAAGAGAATATGAAGGCATCTTTCTTCTGCATGTGAATAACAACATCAGCCGAATATGAATGATGCACCCTGACGGAGAAGGGAATTACCACATAAATGCAGGATGATCCCTGAACAGGTGCTACAACCTGTCATAAATATAATAATTTGCACGTAGCAGAACTGTTTGTTGTTTAAATAGAGGGCACTTCATTCCACTTAACAGACAACTTACAAACAAGCAAGTGAAGAAGCTCTTCACTAATTGGAAAAATCAGTTTAACAAGATGAAAGCTGCAGAAGGGCAATTTCACTCACAAAGGAGTAATTTCAGCTCTAGAAACTAAAGGATAGGCTGCATTGCCTGTTCACAACAGAAAAACTGAAGGAGCAGCTTCAAAAGGGAATTAATTAGAAAGAATTTCTCCTCAGTCATCTGAGCAATGCGATTTGAAGTATCTCAAAGTCCATGTCTAAACTCAAAGCTTCAGAATTTGCTAATGTGGACAGTTGGTATGGTGAGGGAAATGCTGAGTGGGATCACAGCTGTGAGAAAGCAAGCTCTGCTTTGGTGTGCCTTTCAGTCAGTATCGCTGCTCAGAAAGGCAGTTGCCATCCCCTCCCCTCTGGTCCTGTTACATTTTAATGCAGACCACAGCCCTGATGCAGCTGAGAGCGCCGCCAGACAAAAATCAGAGCTGACATACAGCTGGGAGGGTGCAGGAACTCGCATCCAGGAGAGCAGGGGGTGCTTCCTCCTGGGAGCAGCGCTGACTCGAAGGCTGATGAGGGACAAAATTGCACTGCGCATCCCTGACCCAGCAGAGCATTTCTGCGCTTGTTTCAGTGGATAACCTGCACCCTAAACCCCAAGCATTAAAGACCCAGTCAGGGATTGTCAAAGCAGCTGTACCACTCTTTCAGACACTAACCTGCTGAAACCTAAGCCCGAACTGGTAAGACACAGTGTGCAGATGCGGTCTGGTTTTCACCCCATTTATCACTTGTGATTGAGTGGAGCACTGCCTCATGTTCCCTCTCCTCATCTCTCCACTTCCCTAGATAAGCTTAAACCTCTCAACAGTGATGGATAGAAGAGCTAAAACTCCTATCCCTTTGAGCAATACTTTAGTCCTGGTTACAGCAAAAGATAGTGTGCACCTCCTCACATGAGCAGCACTTTACCTTGCCCACGTATCTCATGTCTATGGGCTATTTTGACAGTTAGATGGAAAGATGGCTTACTACACATTAGCTACAACAAAGCCGAAGTTTGTCTGCTATCAGTGGTGCAAACTAACCTGCAAAAAACCCCAAAATATCTTTTATTAACTGAGGAACAAGGCTCTTACCTTCTGTTCCCTTGACATGAAAGCGCTTGTTGAGTTCATCCAATTTGTTCTTCTCAAAGATAGAAAAAAGGAACAAGATTAGGATGACTGGAGCATTCTAACATCTCATTTTACTACGTGTCTAGCAAAACAAAACTAGTGCTATAAAACACAGATTTTTTTTTTGGTTTGTATTCTACAAAAAGTCATAAACATTCCAAAAGGGCACCAACACTTCACAGGAAGGATCTGGGATATTTTTCCAGATTAAACTCTCGAAATAGAAAAAAATGGCTACAACAATACTAGGCAACTACTGCCAATAGAAAAAGCATCAGCAGATCCTAAACACATACCTTATCATCACATGTACATCCTATATCAAAATCTGAGGCAGAAGGCAGAGCGACAGGATAAAGAGGTTTAGCAACTTCATCTGGCACAGTTGGTTTATAAACATTGGCTCTCAGCAGGTGATTTAAACTTCCATGGGTTCCATTATTGGGAGCAGGCTTTAATCCAAGCAGATCTATGAAAACACCACAGATAAATGAATGACTCTTAGATTGCACACCTGTATGCATTAGCATCTTTCCTGAGCAAAGACATTTACTTGCAATGCTGTTTATACCCATGACATGTTAACAAATGGCTTAATGTAATAAAAATACCAACTTCTTGTCCAAATTATGAAATTGCAAGTGCTGTCTGAATAGTATGGTGGCCTTTATGACAAGAAGGTTAATTTGTATCAAGACAATAGAAAAAAGTTTTATTCTAACTACTACTGCAGGTTCCAGTGCAAACCTACAGTCAATATGTTGACCTTACAGCAACCACCTGGAACGCAGTGTTATTAGTCACCTGCCTTAGAGATAAGGGATAATTACCTTTATGGTATTTCATGTTTGAAAAAAGAATTTAAGTCAATTACACCTTAAGCTTGAAAGTTTTTTTCCCCTGGAAAAACATTATTAAAGAAAAGATCATAATGAATATCTGTGTACATCATCAGATGCTGCTTCATGGCTATAGCAGGAGCATAGGAAACAGAATCACACCACGATTATGACACAGAAAAATAAGTGATGTTCTGGAACTGCTTCATGAGACGTGCAGGTGCAGAAGAGAACAGAAACTACCTTCCAAGACTGCTGAGGTGTGGACACCATGCGCTTTAGGGGTATGTATCCAATCTCTGCCCAGCTGCATGCAGCAAAACTATGGTAACCCCCCTTATTGGACAGCTGCTAGACTACAGCAAACTGAGACCCCTAAGAAGGGCCTTTAGCCCTTGTGGCCAAAAGGCAAGTGCTTGGGAAGGGGAGACTGGGGAAGGGTCAGTGGGAGAGAAATCAGGGAATGAGCTCAGAGGTGCCTAAATGAAGCACTGTTAGCTAAGACAGTGGGTTTCTTTTGCAGTTTCTCAAACAAGTAGCTTACCACACATGACGTTGTAAAGTTCAATATTTTCAAAAGGAGGTACTTTGGTCTTGTATTTGAATGTAGGGCCATAACCTACAAAGACAGTCTTTAAAATAAAAGAGAGAAGAATACAAAAGAAGAACATTAAAAGGTAGGGTTTTTTTCAGTGAATATTTATATTTTAGAGTCCTCTAATTTCTTCTGCCTTCACTGACCCTCCCGCAAAGCTTACTGCATTGCTCATACCTGCATGCTGTTTATCTTGTTGTCATAGCCGTGGTCTCCATGGAAGAAACATTTCCCCGTTGGTTTCTTGTAAACGTCCACAGCTTTCCTAAATTGAAAAATTATTGGAAAATTTCCTCAAAGGTGTAGGTATGGTGGCTGACCTAACAACGTTCTCTGAGGGTAGGAGGATAAGGTTACAAGGCAGTGCATTGCTCATCTTTCTTGCATAGCAGTAGCGAGGACTGCAGACTCATCCAACTACCCCAGGGTTTCTCCCTCTGCTCCCACTACAAGAAGGTGCAATCCTAAGAGTCAGCTCTTACTCATCAATAACAAACTTAGCATCCATTTACTTATTTTCTCATATCACATCATCACCTATGGACTGGAGGTATTTTGCACCACACACTTTCAATCCTCAAAAGGCCAACAAAGGCTTCAAAGAAAGCACTTTTGTGATGTTACAATGCTGTACGTGTCATACAATGCTGTAAAGTGCTTTCACCTGTTTGTTTCCCATCTAATAAACAAAAATGGGAAGCAGAAATAAAGCTGGAGGGAAAAGAGAAAGATTGTAATGAAGATAAATAGCTGAGAAAATAAGTGCTGTATCATAGGAATGTTAATTATCAGCCTATTACTGAGCATATTTTACAAAATATATGAAAAAAGTGTCGCACCATAGGAATTATAACTACCAGCTTCTTCCAGAGTACTATTTTTTACAGTTTTATGAGGGCCACGTGCAGGCAATACATGCAGTGGAACAGATTATCCTACTAGTTAGTTTCTGCATCTGCAATAAAATGATGCTTAGCCAAAGTTTGATTTTGGCTTTGCAAATTACTAGAGAGTTACAGCAATCGGTACCATTTTCCTGGCTGTGAATATGTCATAAGTTACAGTTACATTAACAAATGAATTATTGCTGAATGAGATTTCAGAAACATCTAATAAATAAATAAGCCAAGGAAAGTTTGATGTAATAAAAAAATACTAAATGTAAATCAACTTGGGCCATCCCATCAGTTCCAGTAACATTCTTACAGCTAAGAATTTTTCTAGGCCTAAAACTCATTGATTCTTTGAAATGTACATGAACACTAACCACAGAAACTGCACGGGGCAGCCGGCCAACCAGCTAGTGGAGTTATGCAAGAAAGCAACTGAGGTTTCTCATTCACTGCTTCAGCAGAGTGATCCTTGCATAATGCACAGGAAGATAAGCACAGATGTCAAAAGGCACTTACAACACACCTGGCAGCTATACGGGCAAAAAACCCTACCACAGTTTAGAGCTCGTAACAGACTACAGTGAGCCAAAAGCTGTGTCATCTTCTAAGAACCACTGAGCCAGCTTTATGCATAAAGGCCCAGCCGTTCTCATCCTGTAACATACAACACGTGTATAAAGATCAAAGCAAGAAAAATAATAGATATTAAACAGGAAAGGGGCACACAATACATACACAAAGTCTACTCCTCTCCTGTTCACTGAGTGCCAACTTGGTTTTGTCACTTTTTAGCTAACAAAGAATATTAAAATTTGCCCATATTTTGTGACTGAAATTTCAGAGGAATTTGGGAAAGAACAAACCAAACCAGAGTTTTCTCTGAGCTAAAGCATCCTGATTTTCTGCAGATTTCTTTTGCAACAGAATGTGTTGCCAGCACTCTGATGGCCACCCTGTCATACACTTCCACATGTTCTCAGGCTTTCACCCATGCTGCCAATATCCCCATTTTCTTTCCATTCATTCATTGCATCCACTCAGCCCCTTGTTCCTTAACCTCCCCCGATCACAGATGTCTTCCCCTTCCTTCCGTTTTTCCCACCTCCTGGTTGGAATAAGCTTGCACATTATTAAAAAAGCTTACCAGCTCCCATATATGAGCTATCTTACATATGACCTAACCAGCACACCGTTAAAAGAAACACAGCTGTGTGGGGAAACTAATCTGGGTTTCTGCCCTCTATCCAGCTACTGATTTTCCCCAATGTTAAAACAATTTCATGTTCCAAGCCATATTCTCCTGCATGAAATGTCACTGAACATCACTGGGAGTTCAAAATTTCCCCTGCCTCAGGGGGAGGAGTGGGATGCTAACAGGCAGGGTAATCCCAGGCATCTTGTGTCCTCAGAAAAAAAAAGCTGAAAACCATGATGGAAGCCAAAAGGAAGAGTTTACCTTGCCACGTGCCATTTGCGATCCACCAGTAAATGGACATCCTCGATTCTTCGGTTGTAAGCGTAGTGTAAGCGTTTAGGTAGGTGCTGTTTCAAGTAAGGCTTGAAGTGCTGGTCTGGCTTTCTACACTGAAAATTAATGGTTACAAACGACACTGCTATCAGTTAGCTTAGACACGCACAAAACCTGGAGCTACAGAAATCAAGCTGTTCAGGTCATTATTGAGGATGTCTTGAAAACAAAGTGTTTTCGAGAGCATGCGGTCCAGCCCTTTCTGTGCAATATTTACATAAGACCAGGGCCCAGTGAGTCATTTAAAGATGTATTTGGAAAGCTTAATTCTCATGACAGTCTTTTTGAAAGCATCATGCAAAACATCGCACTTACTTAACTCACGGATGAAGAATATTATTCTAACTGGACCAAAGCTTAAGTTTCAGAGGAAAGCAGAATGATCAAAATACATCTCATCCGCAGATACATTTAAAAGCACTGGGTTACAAAATTTGGTATTTTTTTTTAATCAACTTTTATTTTAAACAGTTTTTTCCCATTAAAAGCAAGCCTACAGTTGAAGGCTATCAAATGAACTTTTTCAGCGTCTTCAAAGTGCTAGTAAAATATTTACCCTAAAAGATTACTTTCCATTTCTGAAGGAATGAATAAATAGACTCAATTCAGGCAGTCAAGACGGTCAGGATGATTCTGGCTCTGCACTTCCCAAAAAGGTTATAAAAGCCTTTTGGGAAGGCAAACAGTGGAATTTATGACAAATATTAATCTGTACTCATGAAGGGCACCATTTAACACTCTTTATTCATATTAATGGTTGGTTTTCCTGCCTAAAGAGTGAGGCGAGAATGCTGAAGAGATATCTCCCAGTCCTAAATACTTACTGTAAGGTTGGCAACAATCACTTTAGGGTCATCTGTTAAGGAAAAAAAAAAAAAAAAAGACAAAAATATAAAATATTAACGATTTGCAGGAAAAAACACAATGTAATAATGTAGTTTTACAGAAGCGTTCTTCCTGAAAACTGGATGATGCTTACTAAAAGGACACTGTATATATATATATCAGATAAGACATCCTGACTATGGACTGAAGTTTAACCGTAGAACCTTTAGTTAGTGATATTTTAGTTCCTTAGGTAATGTTGCTCACTGTTTTATGATTCAGGCCTCAGCTTAATATTTATTCTGTTTTCTGAAAACATATGATTTCAAGTCTTTTGCCAACTTTCCTTTAAAATGAAAAAAATCAGCCCCAAACACAAAGACTTTCCTTGAAAACCCATTTGAATGCAACAATGCACTTCCTTAGAAGCAGTGGGAGAAGTATGTAGCATTTTGGTCTCTTCTAACATTTTACGTATTTCATAGGCTACTACAGAGCAAGTGAAAAGCCACAGTAAAATATTCCGGATAACTCTTGGGAGTATGAAAGGGACATGCAAGATGTAGAAAGCCCAAAACCAGAAACAGTGCACACTAACTCAGTCTTCTTCCGGGGGGGGTGGGGGAAGCATTTTCAGTCCTGAGAGAAAAAACAGGCTAAGAAAAAATCTTAGTAAATGAAAATCTCTTAACTATTACTGTATTAGTTGCTTAAGGCACAATCTTGCAGAGCTTGAAATGAGCTCTACTGAATCTGTAAACACAAGTTACAGGCTCATCCATTGCAAAGTTGTGTCTGCAGGCACTGAGGCAACCGTTATGAGTAAGAAAATGGAGGGACAATAAAAAAGATGGTAATTTGCCACTTAAGGGGGCAAACCCCAGTTATCAAACTAAAGAATATGCTGCTTAGTTCTATGCTCAAACCGTTGATTTATAAGCAATCGCAAATATTCAAACTAGGAAGCCGTGGAAATGGTGCTGTGGGAACACCAGGAGTATGACTCAGAGGTCAGACAGACTAGCTGGTCTTTTTGGAAGATATTGCCATTCATCCTCCAAAGAAAACGAAAAGTACTTTTTCTCAGCAATTTGGGAATTCAAGCATTGAAAGATCTTTAAAAGAAATCTTCTCAGAAGAACTGAAATATAAGTTTTCAGTAGACTTTGAAGTGCAGGAATTCAGTCTTTATGGTAGACTAGTAAGGTCTATCAATGTATGCACTACTTTCAACAGAACTTTACACACTCATCCCATATTCCTACAGTATAAATACTCAGGTAAATTAATTTATAGGAAAAAAAAACCCACATAAATAAAGCCGTATCTGAGATTTTCACCGCATTCTTGTGATTTCTGCTGCTATTTTAGAAATTCTCAAAGTTCAACTTTTTGTGAAAGCTCTTCTCTGCCTAAGTATACCCAAGTGTCAGTTGGCTGCCTCAGCTATCTGGTACAAAAACAGCAAGTTTTTCTGTCAGCACTGGGCCTGCATGCATGCTTTACAGCTCCCTTATATCCTTCTACGTCCCCAGCCCGTTGCTGTTTAGCAACCCACCCATCTGTGCCAAAAGTATAAAGAAGATACTGAATTCAAAATTAGTAATTCACTTTTTCCCTTAGTTCAGAAAAGGTACCGGGCACTTTTTTTACACCAAATCCACCTGGTCCTTAGATCCCTCAATTCCCGTTTCCATTGACAGAGGGGAGAAATGCATGAATACATAACTTACAATGACATGTAAGCTGGTGTGTCAAACTGGCTTCGAGTTCCTTGCCATAAAAAGGTGGGATTTAACCCAGAATTTTTAGCCATCGACTTGACACAGCTCTGTGACTGTGGGGTCTGTGAGAAGGGAATGGGCAGCTGGTCTTCAGGGAGCTTCCCAATGACTGTTTTTCTGAAACACTGTGAATTTACACCCTTTGTACAGTGTCAGCCCAAGTAAGGGGTGGAGTCAGGCCAAGAGAGGTTCAACTAAATTAACTTACATTTTAGGTTATTGCTAGACCTAGGGCGAATTCGACCCAAAGAACCAGGGAGCAAAATGATATCTTCCACATTAGTCAGATAGTTGCTTAAAAATTCAGTTCTTTCACAAGTAGTGTCTTCCATCCCTGCAGAGGGAAAATGCAAAATTAATCCAGCTTGAAAATAAACATGTTTTCCAAAACAGTCTATGTATTCTTTTCTTTTGGATAATTAATCTTATTCTTGTTCTTTTCAGTCATCTAATTCCAACATCAGACACTGGTAGAAGCCAAACTCGGGAGGATTTTAGCACTTGCCTACACAAGAGAAATACCAGTCTCCACGTTATAGAAACAGTCACCACATATACTGTGCGTGCACTGACATATCTCCAAACTAAGCTCATGGAAAAATCAAAGTCTGTTTCTAGTTTAGTGTACTGCTTTGGGATTATTTTTTCTTAAACAAAGGATTTTAAGAGAAGTCGCACAAAAAAGGTATTGTCCGTTGGTGGTCTGTTCTAAGGCAGCCGCAGAAAAACAATTCTCTCCTACAGCCGTTTGTGGTGGGGAGGAATGTATTACCAGTCACAGGCAATTCTCAGCACCAAATTGCCTCCCCTGGAAATCCTTCCTGCCCCTTACCCTTCCCTCCCCACAGCCAGAAAAGAGGCATATTCCGTTTTATTGTTAATGTAGCAGATCATGTGAGACTTTCATAAACAAAGATTAAACAGAACAGGACCTTTGGTAGTATCGCTAGAAAGTTATGCAAAAGCAGGTTTATTTCAAATATGGTCACATTTTTCTTTAACAAAACTTTTTCTATCTTTGCTAGTATTTACTATTTCTTCTATTGTAAAGTTTCTTCTGATGCCCAAACGAATGACACCTACCAAATAATATCTCTGCTTTTGGGTGACTCTCCATCTGACCCCGAAATATCTTCTAACTGTTTTCCTTTTTTCTCCATTATTTTGATTACATTTTCCATCCAAGGTGGACACAGTTCCTGACAGATATTCCAGTCTTTTTCCTAGTAGGATAACTTGACCCAGTAATTGCTATTGAAATGTCTCACTCTAAAGTCCTACTCCTCTCTTCATGAAAAGGAGAACAGTGCTACTGAAGTGTTTCTCTCAGAACGATTACTCTGGGCACATTACAGCCTTCCAACACATGCAAGGAGAGCTGCACTTGGATGTGATACAAAAAATGCCAGGCTTTGAAAACTCTCCGTGGAGATGTAAATACCAAGGTTGTGGTTACAAAAGAGAAGTGTCCTCCAGTGACAAGCTGAGTGGCCGTCTACGCTGACTGGCTGGATTTGGCACCAAAATATCTTAAATTAAACTTCTATTTAAGCCACTTACTATAGGTGCAGCTACATTGCTCAAACATTTACATATTGGTAAAGAATATTGTTTATTTTACCATGATCACCAACAAAGATGACATTGACACATCGATGTAGTTTCAACTGTTTCAGCCCATCCATTAGTTGTCCTACTGTCTTGTCAATCTCTCTCAGGGGGTTCACCATCATCTGTATGAATATGCAGAGAGGAAAAATGATAATTCTGTCATTGCAATGTTCTCCCTTCTTTGACAAATGGATGTCCTTTGGCAAAACTCTGATAGGATAACCATCCAGGTCAAGAGGCAAAGCCTTGGCTGAGCTGTTATGCCTGAAATATCAGAGCATTTCCTTTCCTATATCTACACTGTGATTTCATCATGAGAAAGCCCTGCTGAGATGCTGACACGAGACAGCAGAAAATCTTCATGGCTAATCTCAGGCCTCCCACGGACACAAGTACATTTGATAAAAAAACTATAGATAGCAGACAAATGCATGTGACTGGGGTTCAGTTTGTTTCTTGTAGATAAATAGCAGTAAAGGTTATTTTATGTGAATGGTTTAGTCGAAACATAAAATGAAGCTTTGGACTTGGGGTTCATATGCCAAGTCACTTAATGAAAATCACTTCAAAGGACATCTGATGCTAGGATGACAACACACAAGTCACTTGAGTAGCACACAGGGCTCGGAGGGAGCATTCTTCAGCTTCAAAGCCAAGAGTTTCCAGCATCTCAAATGACAGTTTTGGCAAAATTGTCAGCAAGTCTAGAAGACACGGATACAGTACTGTGATTTCTTCATTTAAATTTTCTTTTCATTAAGAAACAAAACAGAAAACACTGAGACACGTTCACAGGATTGTGTTTTCAGCTATAAGAAACTGAAACATTATTTACCAGATGGCACAGAGAAGGGAAACATTTTCAAGTAAGATTTTAGACAGAGGACTCGGGTTTTGTTTTGGTTTTGAGAAGCAAACATTTCTTGTCGCTATATGCCAACTTCCTCCTTGCTTGTCTGTTTGATTTGGCTGGTCCAAGTATCCACAACAAAACATCCTCCCAGTGACAAACAGAAAGCTAACAAATTTTGGATGAGAAAAGAACCCTACATTTTGGCAGAATTTTCTGAGAAGAAAAAACAAACACCATGTTAGTGTGACCCAGAAAGAGATGGTTCAAAAACTCTCCCTCTGCTTGAGTCATTGAGGGATGGATGTTAAACAAGCCTGACAGGCTACAAGGTAAGACAGGAAATGTCATCTCCCAAGTGACACTTTAAATACAAGGGAGAAGCAGCTCATGAGAGATGGAATCAGAGTGTGGGGAACAGGAAGAACAGTTTCTGCAACATATGGAAGAGCAACAATACTTCCAGAGATTTCAAGGATTTATGAGCAGTGGTAATTTTGTTTAGCTGCCCTCTTCACCAATTTCATCTGTAAGCCTGCAGAGACATTTCTGAAACTAAGAAACTCAGTGTAAAAGAAGAATCCTGTGTTTAAAAGAAACAAAAACCTCACCTGAAAACCACACAAAAAAACCCCTTCAACTCTGTGTTTCTCACTACCTGTGTACAAAACAGCTATTAGAAAGGCCTTCACCAATATTTCTTCATATCGCATTCTGTCTCTCTTCTTTTTTTAAATTCAGCGACTTCCTACTATTCTATACAACAGTTAGGTTTCCCACCAAATGGTCTTTGCAGGCTAAGGCTGGCTCTAGGTGGTATATTCAGGCAAGGATTTTTTGTGTGGACATGCTGTTCTTGCACATTATGTTCTTTCCCAGATGCAAGTCCCAAAGTAAACAAATAAAACTCTTCCATATACCTTTCTTTACCAATATGTTGATATAAAGGCTTTGGAAGGCTGTACACAATAATTTTCTCTTTCAATACATACGTATTTCTACGACTGTGCTACAATAGCTGGTGAAAGCATTGGAAATGGGACCTGAGACATAAAGACCACAGTTGGATTCTCTCCTGGGTTTTCTTTTAGAATAAGCTTGATTAGAAGGAAGAAAGATCTGGGGGGGGGTTTGGTGTTGGTTTTTTGTTGTTGTTGTTTTTGTTTTAGTTTGGTTTTTTAATTGACAGGATCCAGTCTGTACTATATTCCATTGCTCTCAAAAGCTCCCCAAAAGACAAAGATAGGATGGGAACTATCATGTAATATTAGGGTATTTTTTTCCATAACAACAGTGATAAATTTTCACAGCTGATTTATCAAGGTTAAGTTTGGATTAAATTTTCATCCAGAGACGGGGAGAAAAAAAAGTTCCATATGCTCACATCAGTGGGAATGTTATAAGGTGTCTACTATGCTTCATGTCAGAAGGCTATAACTTGGAATGGCAAATTAGAAAGTAATAACAACATCGTCTATAGCATTTATCAGTTCTCCTCTCAGGTAAATTCTCGTTTTCTTATATCTGATAATTTCTTGTGTGTCCCTGTCTGCTATTAAAGAATTTATCTCAAAATAACTGTTCTAATTTGAATCATGCAACAAGACAAAAAACACTCCTACAAAAAAAGCTATTGAGTGTTCACAGCTTCTTGTAGGATACAGTGTCAAGGCTTTTTCTTAAAGCTTGAAGGAGAAATATTTAGGTTGTTTATTTGAAGAGTTTATTAAATATTTAGTTAAGTTTCTGAAAGGAAAATAATACTGAAATGGTCTCTAACCTCTCCCAGTGTGTGTGTTAGTGCCAGGTGGAGAAAGACAGTACACTAAGGAATACCCTTTTCCTCCACTTGTACCTTTTCCTAATAAGGCAATTTCTTTTTGACCTTTTTCTTGTGAAAACAGACTTAGATACCACTTCTATTGCAAATACAGCATTCAGAAATCATGTAATCAAGAATCCTTTGCCCTCCAGTGACAGAAACTGTCTTTAAAATATATTTTTAAAACAAGTTTTTGAAGTTCTTTTCCTTTAAGTTTTTATGAGTCACATTTTCAGGACTTTTCCACAACCACAATGACTAGACACAGAATCTCAAATAATCACCAGTCTCCTAAGAGCTGGGGAGTTAAGGAGGCTACAATATATTGCAGAATTTGTAATAGCTCAGGAGGGTTAGCAACACTGGTCATGTCTTCCCAGGGATTTATCTGACGTAGCCTCCAGCTGATGGCTGGATTTAAAATTATAAAGAGAGCATAAAGATGACTTTCCCTAACACAAACAGAGTCTGAAAGAAGAAAAACAAAGCTCCCAGAAGACTTGGGCTGCTTTGGCTGCTTCCCTTTGGGTCCTTCAATACATTTATAAAATTTTAATCTGCAAAATCCCAAGCTGAAGCACAGAGTGAACTCCCAAGTTGAAAAAAATAAAGCTAGAGTAGTGCCTAAAAATTGGCACTTCCAACATAAAATTTTGGAACATACGTAAACTTACTTTCTTCCGACGAGCTTCCGCAGCATATTGATCCACTCTATGTACTTTTCCTCTTCCTTTCTTTGGAGCTGCAAGTGGTCTTTCCTGTCTCCTCTTAGGAGGAAGCTTTCTCTTAGGTCTCTTAGGCGGAGTAAGAGGGGAGCCATAACTACTCTCCTGTACTGGCGGGGAGAGATGTCTGGACTCAGAAAAAAAGCCTGTCTCGACTCACATCAGATAGTAAACTACCTGTGCCAGCTAATGTTGATGCATGAATACTGTGGCCCTTTCAAAAATTGAGGCATTTGGACAATTTAGGATCTGTCTCTCTTTAAGGAGGAATCCACCAAATTGTACTGAAAGCAGAACAGCAGTTACAAGAGCGGACAGCATAAAAGCAAATGAAATCCGTGTTTCAGAAGATAGATGGGCCTTCTGATTTTGAAAATACATAGTTAAGGGGGGGGAGGGGAGGGGGTAGTGATCAAATTTATTGATCAAATATTAAGCCATTAATATTATCAAATTTAAATGAACTTAATTTTAATTTAAGCAAAATTCATTGCATACAATTCCATGAGTGTCTAGGGTAGAGTGCTGGTGGAAATTCAACTTCTCACTTGGATGAGGTATGAGTACCAGCATCTGTCCATTCCAAATGGCTTTCTGCAAGGTTCCTACACACACTTTTTGGCTGAGAGTCAGTGACAGTAGGTACGTTCCATCAGTATCTTTAGCAGGTGTCACCATCGTGTGCCAGGCTGTGCACCCCACTGTCATCACCAGAACCCCGCTACCCATCCTTCGGGGACTGCAGGCCAAAGGTAGAGAGGTGACACTCAGCTCACATGGAGCTTTTATCCTTCAAATCAGCTAGGCAGGGCATAGTAGTGGCAGTGCACCAGAAAGCTGCACTGTCTTATTACCAGCTTTATGGGCAATTTGAGAATTTAATTTCCTAGCACTTTCGGTGTGGCATCTTGTCAGGTCATGGTATTGTTCATATGCACAAATACCTGGGAGAGACTTGTAGAAGGGAAAAAATATTAAAGACATAACTGGGAAAAACTACTATTCCATTAATCAAGTCGCTCATACTTTTAAACTCCAGCACTCTCCCTGACTTCAACACAAGCTGCAGGCTCTTGGCACTGCTCGGGATCGCGTGTGAAGCGGTGATAGATTTCGCCTACTGGGAGATGGTGACTGATACGTTGTGTATAATGGAGCTGCTGAGTGGGCTTGAGAAGAGTCGGAGATTTATTATGCTATTTTACTTCTATGTACTTAGGCAGCTTCTCACAGTTGTTCAGCTACAGAGCTGTGTAAACAGGGAAGGGAAGGAAGGGGATGTTACCATCTGCCATGCTGTTTCATTGCTTCCAAGGCAAGCAGCTGGAAAGGAGATTCCAGTCCAGTCTCATTCGTCTCTCTCCAGAAAGGCATTTTAATAAAGCAGCACCAGAGTTTTCTGTTTTTAAAACGCTTCAAGCTTTGTGCAGTCCTGATGAGAGGAGCGGCAAGGAAAGGAAGGATTCTCGTTTTACTGTCTCTGAATCGGCTCAGACAGAGCTCCACAGTGCCAGAAACGCGCGAGTGCAGGAGACCCAGGTCTGAACACTGGAAATGGCCGTCTCAAACAGCATGTTAGAGGAGCAGCAGGAACGGCTTAGCACTGCCAGATTTCGACGTGTTTTAGAGCTCTTATGGTAGTATATTTCTAGAATATTTAACTTTAAAAAAAAAAAAGTTAGCTAAGAGAGAGTAAAAAAAAAAAAAGCCAAGTTCTTATTAACCAGCCAAATCTTAGTCTTGCTTGAGAAGAGTCAGAACAGAGTTATGGAGGAGGGAAACCAATCCCTCCCCGCTTACAGAAGGGAACTGTAACAACACAAGGGTAACTAGCCAGCCAAAGCTCTGCTTCTTGACCCGGACGGACCAACCTACCAGAGTTCAACTGCAGAAGCGCAGAGGGAAAGAAAAAAAAAATGCAGAAGTAAATCAAGAGCAAGCACATATTTGATAACTCCCATAACTACTCCTGGAAACGTAATGGAATCCACTGAAATACCTCCTGAGAAGTTTATTCATGTCCAACAAACCACCAAACCCAAAGCCAAAAAAACACCACCCCAAAACCTAGACAACCATCTCATTTACACTGCAATTCATAACGTTAGAGGACATGCAAAGTTACACGAGTGGACACTGGCTGTAATCTGTATTCCATTTATATCAACAACACTGCCAATTCACCAATAAGCTTTAGGTGCATCTAAGTCCCTTCATTGCTAGCTTTTAAGACACTCTGCACATAGGCTGTTGTGCATGTCCTGTGAAGCTCTAAGTGCTGTCCGTTGAAGTCTGGAAGCTGAAAATTATCAGTAATGGATGACATTAGACCTTTAAAGTTATACATTAAAAATATTATTTGGTATAATAAGGTCTAGTAAACATTCGCTTTACTCTAATGGACATTTTAAAGATTTGAAGGTTTTCATGGTATAAAACTATTCCTCAAGCTACTAAATGCAGTAGGAAAAACTCAGCATGAAATCTTCACTCTTCAAAAGAAGAAGTAAAAAGCTCATCTTAAATATAACAGAATTATTAAGAGCTTGTTTTCAAATGCTATTGTTTGGCTGATCTGACTTTGCATGAAATAAAATTAAGTGGTCAGTGCTCTTCCAACTGTCCAACTGCTGCCAGCTGTATAAAAGAAAAGAATCATTTCACAGGGAGGTTGTGCTTTCAGTATCAAAGATGCAGCAGAAAGGGATCCCTTTGAGGACTTTCTTCCAGCTGATTTATGTACATTTCATAGCTCCTAAAAATTGTATTGAAAACAGTGTCAAGAGAAACAATATAAAATACTTCCTAGCTTTTCTATCTTGAACCAGGGCCCGAGCAAATCTCAGCCACTGTACAGTTACACAGCTGTATCCATTTATTTAAATTTCCATTCACAAAGTTATGGCCACTGTTTGAACTGCAAACCCATACATGCTCATCTGCTAACTCGTCTGTTCTCAATTTCCTGAAAACAAATTTCATGCTCTTGTGTTTAATGCAAATGGCATAAATTATTTTATTTGTAAAACTTTCATAAGCTATTAATTCACAATTTTTAAGAGCCTAAGCTTGGCCTTGTGATTAGAGGTCAGCCTCCAGATAACCATCCAGAAGAACCCCCAAACAATAAGAGCTCTTGAGGGACTTTTGCTTTTATAATTACTCTTCCTATGATGATACAATTACAAATCACTTTTTGGACACTTATAACTAACCTGAAACTAAATTACCACATTGAATGCTAAACTGGTTTGTTAAAGACTACAATTTAAAGAACAAATTCAATGTCAACATCTTCATATTCTCCTTTAAATCCATGTAAAGAGCCCCACCACTCTGTTCAGAAGGAAGTGGTTGTCTACAGATAAATAAAATTAGAGTTATCAGTCATAAGCCACACATAATATTTTAGAACTTGAATAAGAGGAAGTATAAAAGCATCACTGAGTAATATACCCTTGAATCAGAGAGCTCTCATTACCAATACTTTGCTACTGTGAAGAAAATTATCTCCGTCCCAACGAAAACCAGCACACTGAGTCAAACATCTCTCCTGTTCTGAGCCAAATGACATGGAGATATATCAATATAGCAAGAGTGTTGGCAGATTTTAAACACCACTTGTACAGAAAAAGGACTACTTCTTCCTGACCAGTAAGGTGTTTTCAGTGCTGGTTTGAAATAATTCCTCACAACTGCTTCTCTAGGACCATGGCTCAACAGGGATTCTACCTACAGCAAGTTCATAACCACTGCAAACTAATTTCAACAGCCCAAGTAACTCAAGCATATTAAAAAATATTAATGCTGTTTCTCTTTCCTCTCTTCAGCAGAGAACAACCATCAGATATATATCAAACAAACGAGAAACTACTGCTGGGTACCTGTCTGCTCGGGGAGATTTGCATTACCTTCCAAACACTCCTCATTTCTGAAGATTTGCAAACATTTATTTACCCTTTAAAAAGCAGATATAAACACTCCTGAAGTCTTGTGATGTTAATCTGCAGGTATGTATCTGTACTGAAACTCCGGGATCGTTGCCAGACATCAGAGATCATCGCAGATGCCAGATCCCAGCCATCCAAATCCAGAGTAGTAGGTGCAGAATTTACTTTCCCTCTCCAAAAATCCCAGAGAAGCATATAAGTTCTTGCCACTTGGACAGTGCTGGCAGGGAAGCAGTACTCATCAGTCCCAGCCAGAGACCCAAAGCTCAAACAAGGGGTTAAGCTACTGCAGTGTTTTGCACATACTTTTTCATTACAATATGTTACGGTGCTTCAAAGCTTTTTCTGAACTCAGCAGTCTGATCCTGAGAGAACTCTACTGGCAAAGCTTTCTGAACCCCTGTAGGGCCTATATGAAACTGGAAATAGCAGATTTTTACAGTTCACAACAGACTGGAATTATTACTTCGGCTACTGCAGGCTGTCAGCTTTAAAGGAAGCTTTTTCTTCTCTGTGTTTTTGCCCTCAATATTTTCTGCGTTATATTTTATTACTTTTAAGAAGTATAAATTGTTAGAGGAAAGTTAAATTATGCTGTTGAATCCAAATATAGTCCTGTCTTTGCCAAATAAATCTTTCAATTTGCATTATCATATCACACAGAGAAATAGCTTCCTGAAAGGCACGGGCAGTTCCTTCTCTCAGAAGTAAATCTCACATGATAAACCCTTTAGACAATAACTTTGCTTTCTCTGGCAGAGGGGAAGCATACTGCAGAAATGGGGGGAAAAACATGTTGCTAAAAATGTTACTTCTGAGCAGTGGCAAGTATTCCAAAAATGTATTGGAGACACATGTTTTTTCTGCAGAAGAAAATCTGTACTAACCTCTGAGTTGAAAGGACCGTATCTGTGGCCAGCAGCATCTGGTTGCTCAGAGTAGAAAGCATAAACGTAAGGCCTGAAAGAAAGAAAGGTCTTGTTCTGGGTAGCTGTCCTCCAACACCAACAAAAAATCCCCAAACCTGTTAGGTCACGTCAAATCAAGTCAACCTTCCAATGAGAGTTGGCTTTACGGAAAAAGAACTATTTCTCGATCATGTTTCCATGGTATGATTAAGCAATTAGTTGTTCTACAGTCTTATTAAATTCAAGAACACATGCAGGGAGGCACACTGGGTACCATCTGAGGACACACTTTTTCTAAGTCTTGTAGGACAGATTACAACAGCAGCTCGCCTGAGCTTTGCAGACAGCAGCATGTGGGAACTTGTGTACTAAAAAATACTCATAATTAAAATCTTAACATTTTCCCAGTCCTCAGGGTCCAGTTCTGCAACTGCCATTGCCTGTAAGGTTGTTAAACCATATCAGACTCAGTAGGATAAGAACAATCCAAGCTAATCCATGTAACTAAATGCTTCTTGATAAAAAATAAATTCATACCATACATTTATTGAGAAGAATTAAAATGCTGATGGTTAAAAGCTGAAATTAAAAAAAAACCAAAACCCTGAACACAAAACCACAAACAAATCCTTAAATCAGTGATAGTGTGTAACAGACAAAAATTATTTTTAGAATTAAATTTCCCCTTGCTCTTCCTGCTACTTTTAAGGAAAAGGCAAGCTAGCAGTTAACCAACAGCAGATGACAGTAAGTGAATTACCTTTCGTTGTCCGGAAGGGTTAGCCACTGCAGTATTGTTAATATTCTGCGCTCATGGGGGATGACACTGGACCACAAAGTACAAAAATACACCTTATTATCATAGAATACAAAATGCACCAACACAGCCTTGTTATGAACTTATTCAAACATGTTTAAGATCAATCATAATAACATCATTTGCTTTTAGTATGCTATATCTTCTTTCTTGATTGATACTGATTCTTATTTTGCAAACTCAGTGACTTCAGATCTCCTGGATGTCCACATACTCCAAAAGAAAGATGATTAAAAGTTTGTAATTGGAGTCAGAACTCAAGGCAGTAAATCTAACTGTTCTAAATAGGAGCGAATAAAGACCCATTCTGGTAGCTTTTAACTCAGATGAACCTTTTTTATGCACAGTGGTGTTGCCATTGGATATCTGGTGTAAGAAAAAACAATGCAATTGCTCACATCAGTATGGGTTTAAATGACCATCCTGCACTGGTAGCCTTGAAGACACTGGAAAAAATTCCCATTGACTTAATAGTAACCAAACTCAGGGCTAGGATAGTGTCAATCAGAACAGAGCCATCGGAAACAACAGGCTATCAGCACTGTGACTCACACAACTCTGATGGCTTTTGTCTGCAGAACAGACTCATCCTATTTCACTGTTTGTATCCTGAGACTTCTCAGTTGGCTGCTGAAGCCAAGATCTTATCAACAGCTGTCAAACTTCCAAATACCTCATCTTAGGAAAGCTCTGCAGGTCAGTGACTATGCAGTTATTTCAATACAATAGCACAGTCTGTCCAGATTCTATTAGATCAATAGCTGAATCCCAAGCCAGGAATCAAGTACATCTCTCGGATTCACTGTACTGAATTGAATTCAGCACTCTTGGGAAATATCTGACAGAGAAACAGAGATTTCATGAGGTATTTTGAAGTAAAGTTAGTTTTTAATGCCTTGTAGAACAACAGTGGTCCTCAGTCTCCAACTACAGAGAACTTCTGGTTGTAAAACAACTATAAAAATTGCACACTCAGCAAATTTGCCGACAACACCA